CTCCGCTGCGCTCATGTTCCATAAACGGACCCAGTGGGCCAGGGCGCGGATGTAGCAAAACTGTAGTGCTGTTGGCCCGCGGCTTGCACGGAGTATATGGGGATCTGGGGTTCCATATACACCCACAGACGAGGGTCCACAGAGCGGTTACGGAGCGGAGCAGACATATCTGGTGGAAGTTTGGGAGAGACCCACCTGCCAGGTATACTGGAGGTCTGCATTCAAATTAATTGGCCACATGAATTAAAATGACTCAAGTTGTCTGAATTGTTGTGAAGTATGCTTTGTGACAAACTGTTTTATTTTCTTCATTGTTATCTTTCCCAAGTGTGACATTTCCATCTAATCAAGAATGGGCTGTAAACATTCCTTGTTGTGTCTCGGTTGTGGATCCACTGGATTGATATTTTTAAGAAATTAAAGGAGGTTAAAATCAGAGTTTAAAAGAAAGAAGATGAACAACAGAACAGAAGAGATAAGTATGAATGTGACATTATAAGGAAGGGGGTTGGAATTGTGATGAGGTGTTCAACAACCAATCAGATGTAATGTAAGAATGTAACAGTAGAAAGATTAAAAACTAAAAGACAGACAACACAGTTATTTACAAAAAAATACCTCACAGACTTGAACAGACCCAAGGCTCCACCACCTGTAAAATACATTTCCAGTATGTTGATCCTGAATAATTTGATTGTTTTATAAGAGCTTGTTAAAGCTGACAGCTGAGGAGAGGGAAATGTAGCTTTTTGAAAGCAGCAAAAGTGAAACAAAATGGTAAAGCAAGGGTAGACAGTATACCCTTTGTATAACAGTTTATTATTTCAATTACATTTGGTAGAACTTGATTGACATATCTATCCTGAACCTTAACCTGCCTACTTACCCCCCTACCTATAAACTATTCTGCATTTATTGATAGAACGGCTGAAGAGAGAATGGAGGACGACATGCACTAAATGGATACAGGCTAGGAGCCGAACCAGCAACCATAGTGCATTGAGGACTGAAGCCTCTGGACATGGGGTGCTTGTGCTCTACCAACTGAGCTTAATGGCACCCCACACTCATTGTGCGTCATTGATCCAAATCAAAGTGTTTTGACTCAGCACAAGTTACAATTTATAGCTGGTGTGATGAAAAAAGAAACAAGGAAAGACAAATTTGTGTTTGTTCAAAGTGAGGAAAATTGAGGGAATTATTCAACTTTAACAGATGATTTCAGTATGCATCCCGAGGCAGTATGACTCACTGTTTGAAAGTACAAAAAGAGAGAGAGAGAGACGAAAAAGAACTTGGAGGAAAATGATGAAACGTTGAGTTCCTGGTTGGGGTCAGAGTCTGAGTTCAGTACAAATAATGAGAGGTGAAACTTCCCTTCAATCTGAACATCATTGTTAATCCTGGATGACCAAATGTAAAAGTGACCTTAGAAAAAAATGAAAACCACCATGACTGCTCCCACTGCCAATCTGATTCACAAGCCACCAGTTTCCATAGTGACCAATTAGCCATTTCAGTAATTAACAATTTAATTGTCCCTGTTACATCACAGAATAAAACGCACTAACCTGATTAGCTAACTGAACACACACACTTTCGCCACTGTCTAACTATAAAATGTAGGCAGTGAATGAGTGTGAACAAATGTGTGTTCATCACAAAGAGAGCTCAGGCTGTAATGAAGGCCTTTGTTTGAGTTAATGAGGACCAAAGTACTTGAACAGATTTTACAGACGTTTGCTTCAATAAATAATTGGTCCATGCTCTAGCGTTTGGGCCAGGCATTTTCAAGTGTGTGTCTGTATTGCATGTGAATGTCTTCGGCTTTGATCATTCCAACCATAGCAAAGATTGTGACTGTGATGTGCTTGAATTTCATGCTGCGAGGATTGAGTGTTTTTTAAGCTTCATCAGTTTCTTTCTTTCTCTCAATGTTTTGTTGGGATATGGCTTCTTTTCTCAGGCAGTCTGCTCTATCGGTTGTGACAAGACCAATAAATATCTAGAATAGGCAAGCAAATTGACTCTATAGAGTCTATATAGCAAAAAACTGTAGGTGCACAAGTATGTGTTTATGTGAGCACAATAAAACATGTCAGTCCTCTGTACTTTGACTCCAATAGACATTTGAACTATTATTAGAATTTGGTAAATGGACTTGGTTTTGTACTGACTACTTCAAGGAACTTTAACACTGTAGGTCACACCTACACATTCCCACCCATTCACACATTGATGGCAGAGACTGCTTAAGTGTCTATCAGTGTTAACTTATACATTCAAACACATTCATACCCCACCAGTGTTGGGTTACTGTAACGCCACTACTATTTGCAGTAACTAGTAACGAATGAGTTACTTTCCATATGTGAATAACACCCTTACAGTTACTGACATTAAAAAGCAATCGTTACTTCTTACTTTGAGTGATGCTAACGTCAGCACAGCAGCATCCAAGGGGAAAGAATGGGTTCATTCAGCGGTCAGCTTTCTGTCTCTGAAGTACCAACATTATTTTCCCTGCTCAGTTAAACAAGAATAACGCGGTGGGTTGTGAGTCTGTGTGCAGGAAGGAAAAACTTCTCTCACAAGAATGGAGCACGAGCTAAAAGACAACACGCTTCTACTAAACTAGCTGTCAGAGAGCCCCGTGTTGCAGACACCGGAGACCCAGGTGCAGCCCACGTTAGCTCGGCAGACCAAGGAGGAGACACTCCATACAAATTCATGTGGCCAATTCATTTGAATGCAGACCTCCAGTATATGTGGCAGTTTGATTTAAACACCACCTGCTCCACGATGTGTAAGCCGGACTGAAGACTGACAGATGGTTATGTTGACGTCGGTTGAGTCTGTTGCCTTCAGAGATCTAATCTGCAAATGACCTACACACTGTCTCAGCACCGTTCTCCCACAGCAGCATTAAATAATGTGAACATTAATATGAGGATTGAGGATTTCCCCAGTAACTTACTTTTATAAAGCAGTAACTCCATTAGTAACACATTTTCAACACACTGTAACACTGTACCCCAATGACAAACAGGTTAATGGGTAAAGTGTCTCGGACAAGGACACATCAGACATGTGGCTGCAGGAGCTGAGGACCCCCGACCTTCTGTTTGAGAGACAACCAACTCTACAACTGACCCAGCCGCCCCCCACTCTATTTTGTCTTAACCCACCTCCCTCACCCCTTTGTCTGTGTTCTCAAAATGTCTCACTATTTCCAACACTAACAGTGTTCAATTAACAGAGTAATATGCCAAAAAAAAAGATTGTTAATACTAACACAAACACTTCAATAGACACACACACACACACACACACACACACACACACACACACACACACACACACACACACACCTGTTCACTCAAATGCACACATAGTTAAACATATTTAATTGCTTTATTGGGGCCATTGGGCAGCTCCTTCTGTTCACCACAGGGGAGAAAATAAAAAAATGGCAGAAGAGGGGAAATGGTTTTGTGCAAACAATCTGTCCTGCTGTCTCCTTACATTTATTAATGTACTGCACAGAGTTGATTCCATCATCTATCATTTGTTTACCTCAGCATGCATTTGCATACAGCCTTGAGCAAAGCAAGGACATGAATTAAAACAAAGAGTGCATTGAATGAGACTGTGAGATCCAGCCAACCAACTCCTGCAATGCTCACCACTCAAATCTTTCTGCGTTTTTGTTGTTTAGCACATTCACATGTTCACATTGACACATTCATTCACACTTTCACATCTGAGTTTGTGCACAGGCACACTGCACACTTTGGCCATGGGGACACACACCTATAGAGTGACAAGCCGTGAAACATTTATGAAAATAAAAAATGCGTTCACTGAAAATAGTCTCTACCCAGAGGAAAATAATTTTAGAAAAGAGATCTTAAAAAGGTTTCATTTATTTCTCCTAGACAACACTGAGATCCATGTGAAAGCTAAATGAGACAATGGCTTATTTCTCCAGCTTCTCACCCTTGCCTCCAGATAAAATAGCTGCACAAATTCTCAACCTAGTCTCCCTTTCAGTTCCAAAGGAGATCTCATCAAGTTCTGAAATGATTCTTGGATTTTTCTCAAGTTTTGAGACTTTTTGAGCTCAGGTGGAGAACTTGGAGAGCTCTCTCAATTTACTCAATCTAACCTCCCTTCACTTTTTTTAAACTCAGTTTTTGAGTCATGTTGATCTCACATGGAGCAAAAAAAGAGCCTTTTGCTTGTGATTTATCGGTGTCATGAAAATGTACTATTTTAATGCAATACATTTTAAAACAAAGCCCTATTTTTATAGGTCTGACAACCTAACTGGCTTTTAACTTATTCTCTTTTATCTATTTAATTTTGCATGGTCCTGTTATCTGCACTTTTAATATTCACAGCACATGTGAGAAAATATTTACCATAATCAAACTGCTTTACTTTTTCAGAGTGAGCTTTCTACCTATTGGCCTATGAATGTTAACAATATGAGCTACAGACACATAAGCTGTAGCAGGCAGACACTGACACATAATAGGTTATGAAAATGGGCCAAAACTAGGTAAATTCTTAATAAAATTTTAAGAACCCATTATTATACAGTATACAGTTATGAAAATAAAAGAAAATAGACAGGATTATTAACACGTGACCAGTTGCTCAGATATACCATGCTCATTTTAATTGATTTTACATGTTGGTCCTTTCCAAAAAAACACTTCCAAGGCATTTTAAACCAAGTTGTTCGCTTCTGCACTGTCTTCACATAATAGGTCTTCATCAAAGGACAGGTCATCATCAGATGACTGGTTATGATCTTAAGTTCCCTCCTCAACAAACTCATGTAGGGGGTGACCAAAATGTATCTATGTGAAAAGGATCTTCACTCTCTGATTCTTCAATAAGGCCAGCGTGATGTGTCTCTTTTGTGTGTTCAGAGCATTGGGAAAATGTATGGTTGTTGTTGTCACACAATTCCTGATTGATGGATGTTCCTCAAGGGCAAAGTCAGCAGATTCAGGAGTAGCATGGCACTCTAGTCCTTCTGTGCAGCAACCATCTGGCCTCCAGTTTGTTGATTCTAGACACAAAACAAAATCATATAAAACATTTTACAAATTTGTTAAATGTACACCAAGTGTTCAAAGGCAATATTCACGAGTTTGTGGCTTACTAGTCTGTACGTGTTTATTTTTCATAGAAATTCTGTCCATCTTAACACATAGCCAGTTACTACACTAATAGAGCGACGAAGAATGTGTTTCAAAATATATTATATTTGAATTTTTGGATATTAATTTCATTATCAAATCATAGCCCCATAAGCAATATAACAGGCATATGTGCAGACAACACAGGGTAGAGGCAAAGACATAGCTGCCTCAAAAAACTTGTTAAATATTTCTGGGAGGCATGCTTCTCAGTTGCAGTTTGCTTAACATGCAATAGAAGGGGTATGTGGTCATACTTTACCAACTCACTGATTGTTTTCTTCTGAATCATATCAATAATTTAAAGCCTATTTTGTTGACTTTCACAAAACTTCATATGTCTGTGTATTTAGAAAATGTGTTTTTGTTAGAGCAGTTGTTACCTGAGTTCTCCACTCTTTGTGTGTCCTTCTGAAAACACAGGAATCATAAGGTTAAGATATTCAACTTACAACATACTTATGGGCTGTTGTGTTCCTAGTGCAATAATTGTATCTAGAGTCACTCAGAAAAAATGGCATGTTTGTGTGTATTCTTGACAAAACTGTAATTTCAAACAAAGCACAAAATTCTTACATTCTTACATAGTATTATGCTGCCAAAGGCAAAGAAACTACTGAACTGTAACTGAGAGAAGACCTTAAATAACAGTTGACCATATAACCACAAAAAAAAAAAAAAAATTCTCACCTTTTTTCTGTATCTTTTGCAAGTATTTTCTGGAATCCTAACTTTTCTTCTCCAGCGTGAGTCATATCTTTGTGTCATTTTCCAATGGATCAAACCCCAGCTCTTCCCCTGAAATAATTTCAATGGACAAAAAATAAGCAATTAATACCCGGAGCAATAAGTACTTGAAAACCTTAATTCAAAGTCAAAAAGCCTCTCTTTCTTTAATTACAAAACATTTCCTGAATATTTGAACTATTCTATTCTTAAGTAAATCATAAACACGTATACAGGCAGGTAAAAAAGACAGTCTCAACATTAAGTGTCTTAGTGAGGTGTTGAGCTACGACAGGCAGCCAAACCAGCTTCAATGTGCCTTGGCACTGATTCTACAAATCTGTGGATACTACAGGAGTGGGAAACACCATTCTAAATAAAAAAAGACATGTTTCCTCTTCTAGTGTTTTGATGATGGTAACAGAGAGAACTGTCTAATATGTGACTCTATACATCAAAGTTCTGAGCTCACCAAATTAAAATATAGAGGTAAACTGTGTATTACTTACCCCACTGCCAAAAAGCTCTATCCAACTATAAAGGAGCAATGATGACCTTTGATAACGTGGTTGCAAGGACAGGGAAACTGTATGAATGACAGAAAAGGCACACACACTGTTAATACATATAGTGATTTGTCAAGCCTCTATTCAGTAGGGAATATAGCAAAAATAAAGTAAAACAGTTGAATAAACTGATGAAGGTCAAGGACATTTGGAATCAACACAGATCCCTAGAGTTCACCAAAGACACAGTGGTCTGTGGACATTGACATGTGGACAAATCAGGTTTCCTGACATTAATACAGACATGATTTTAAAGCTAAAGTTCACAAATGAAAGCCTGCAGGTAAATTTTGTATTATTTCAAAAATGAAAACACTGATTTTCCCTGCTGATGAACTTTTTAATTTCTAATTTGACAACTACACTCCAAGACTTTGCAGGACAGTAAGACCAAACATGTAAACAGTAATTCAGTGTCCTTTGACGCTGTTACTGTTCTTTATGTGTGATTTATGTACATTTTCAGTGTTCATTTTATCTGAGGCTCACATGAAAAAATAGTGTATAGGGACTGGAGGGGTTAGATTACATTATATTAATTACTAGCTGCAGGTTTAATACAAAAGCAACTGTACAAGCTTCTAACCAGAGTTCAACTAGCATGTGGCTAATTAACATAAGTTTCACTCATGATTAGCTATTAGCGATTAGCATGCTAATAAATATCAATTTAGTTGTTAAACTTCACCATTAGACACACAAGACAATACTATTAACACTAAACGTACATTGTTATGCACATTAGCTGCAATTTCTTACCTAGCAGACAGCAGATGTGCAGAGGCTCTCTGTGATGCTAATGTGTTACTGTGACTGTATGGCTTCATTCTGTGGATTTATTAACTTAACTGTTTCTAACATTCAATAATCACATTATGTTAGCTGAGGATGTAAACTGCTTACAGAGGAAATCTCCTGTAACCATAAACACATTTTCTGTAGAGAATTACAAAATTTCAGTACAATTATTAATCACTCACCGAAGCTGAACTGCGCAGGCGCATCAAGACGCATCAAGACGCAGTCCTGAGGTGAAGAGGACGTTGTGTCAGCAATCAAAGATGTTATTGGATGAGTGTGCTGTCCATTGTACACAACGAATTGTGATTGGTCAATTTAATTCGTAAGGCGGACCTATGACGTAAGGAAGACACCGAGGGCGCAAAAGCAGCCAGGAGGAGGAATGGAGGAAAAAAGCAACTCTGAACCCCGAAAAAGACAGTAAGTTACACCTTTGTTAAATATATTGAGTCCAGTTTTTTACAATTTAGCATATTTCTTATGATTTTGTGTTGGTTCTGATACTTCATTGAGGAATTTGGTCTTCAGGTGCCGAGTGTCAAAGTTAGTTAGCTAGTTTAGCACGTGGCTATGAACTTGCTTAGGTTATCTAGCGATTAGCAGCAAGGCGCCACAGGTTTTTTTTCAGTTGTTTCAGAGCTCCAATTAAGTCAATTACAACAAAAGTTTATTTCACAGCTAAACTTGTTTGTCTTTAATAAATTACAGATCATAAAACAGCATCAAGTCATTGATTTTGGCTAATCTTATCGTTATTCTGTTTGTTTGGGATGTAAACAGCATCACCAGCATGGTCGTACAAAAAACTTAGAACCACTTATAAATGTTTTACTTCTGTGTACTGTATTTCAGGATGCAATGCCATGCAGAACAACCTTAAAAACAAAGGTTCCCAAACGAGCCAACAACCCACCTGAGAGATTTGATCAAAAGATGACCAAAAGATGACCAAGATGGTAACTATATTGTTATTTCACTGCTCAACATTTAACAGTGTTTCATCCAGGAGGGATCTTGATGTTAGACCTTACTTGGCATTACCCTGCCCTAATATATAAATCAATAAATTATGTCCTGTATCAAATTCAAAACAATTTCCTTTTTTTTCTTAACTCTGAATGCCACTATCTAAATAATTCACCTTGTCTGTTATAGGTGGTGACCAACTTCATGCTTTTTGGAGAGTATTGAGCAACTACGACCTAGAGTTGGTGTTGGTCACCAACACCAACAGAGGCACCATCAGAGGAGTGCCAAAATGCAGTGGCATTTGGGAAACATGGAAAAGTGCCAGAGGGGAAGACAGTCTTGGAGAAGTCAAAAGTAAATGGGATTTTAAGTAAGTATATCACTCATTTTGACCCTTTTGTCAGTGTGCATACTAGAGTAAGGATACCAGAATTTTGAACTTTATGACAGCAGTGAACTAAAAATTGACCAGCTGGACACCCAAAACTTATAAATGCTCTCATTTTTTATTTCCATCCTGCAAATTAGAAAGGAGCTCTGAACACATACCAAAATTTGACACACTGTTTATTGCAATGAATTGCAAAATGAAACAAGTAACGTGAGAATAAAATATTATTAGTATATTTATAATCCAGAAGTATATGCTGTTTGTTCTGCTCTCTGCCTGTATTTTAAAAAAATGTCTTATATTTTACAAGGTTGCACAGTTGTGCAGTGGTTAGCACTGTTGCCTCACAGCAAGAAAATTCCTTCTAAAATGCCCGTTGAACAGGCCTTTTCCTGTGTGGCGTTTGCATGTTCTCCCAATGCGTGCATGTCCATGCACTCCGGCTTTTCTCCCACAGTCCAAAGATGTACTCGTTAGAGAAATAGGTTTCTTTTAATTTAGCCACAGACATAATTTCATAAGGTAAAAATTACTGATTTTATCAATTCAATCTGATGGCCTATAGCTATTTCAACTGTTGCTCTCTGCACCATCTAGTCAGAAGTCAGCTGTAATTTGAAAGGCACAAGATATGAAGTTAAAATGAGGAAACTCCAAAGACTGGATCTTGATTGTCTCTTTGGTAACAACTAAAAACTTGATGAACTCCATGAGTTGACTCCATAAAGAACACTGTTACTGTATTAATCTGTAATTATTTTTTTGTGATTTGTGCTTTCTTTTATTTTTGCAGCTTACGTCATGCACTGTGGCACACCAGTGGAGAAAGCAAAGGCCAAGAAAGCCCTTATAAACAAGTGTCACAAGAGGGCTAAGGGCTTAAATGTGGCACATTGAATGGACATTTTGAGACCATCTAATTAAGAGGACTGGAAATTGTTCATGTTGTGGATTGTTTTCCCATCACCAGATACTGTTCTAAAAGTAGGTGTTTCTGCAAAGAGTCTAGGTTAAAGCTTATATGAAGAACTTTCAGTCTGCATACATTTTAGAACAGGAACAGTAACTAAAAGTAATAGAAAAGGGCAAACTTGCTGATTGTCTGTTTTAGTTTTGTTGGTCACCCAGCTGAAACCTGTTCTTTATAGAAGCATCAGTATTGGTTGATGATGAAAATGAAGACTTGCTTCCTAATCAGCTGTTTTAATAAAGGAAGTATTTGTTATAACATATCAAGTTGTTCATTTTTATTGAAACAAATGTTGATCATTTGATGTTTATTATGTAGGTTGGAATTTGTAAGGCTGCTTAATTTTAGTAGGCTCATCACAGTCTCTCTTTGTCTCATTATGTTCTCCTTTGGAGATGACAATGAGCCATTAACAAGATATCTGCTTTAAGTCTCAAATAAGACTCCTGTGGCTATAGTCTCAACCATTTCCCCTAGTGAATTTTAGGAGAAACAAAAAAGAAATAAATGAGAAATATTTGAAACTTGAAAGAGGCTGGGATGAGAATCACCATTTTGTCTCCCGAGATGCAGAAGAGAAAGCCTTGAGCAGTAAAATTTTCCTCTGGGTATTCTCAGTAACTCTTGACCTGCCAAAGCACTTGTCAGCAATACTGGTTACATTTTTAATCAAAGTGCTGTGGTTCTGACCTCGGCTCTCCAAACTACTCTTCATTTCTTTTTCCAAGTGTGCAGCCGAAGTTGCAGTAGGTGTCTTACTCATGAAATGTGAACACACTATACACACACTACATGCTGTGACGACCCTGCTGGTTCCTTTTTTTGCTGTCTTGGCTGTTTTCTGTTTCAGGTGCCAGTGGGTGTGGCTGTTCGACCCTGGATGGAGAACACCCGGGGCCCGGTGTTCTCCATCCGAAAGAGCTGGCCCCACTTCCTCATTGGGGGAGATTTGGAGAAAGAGATTGGGGAGGGAGGCTGTTTCCCAATGCTCCTTTTTACTTTGTTACAGTTGCTTACATGTATTTTTCGGAGTATACCCTTGTCTCCTCCATTTATTTGTTGCAGGTTTTGAGCTGGTCCTGACAATCCTGTGTTAACTAAAGAGAGAAAATAACACAACTTCAGGTTCACAATAAAGTCTTAATAATAATAATAATAAAATCAGATGTTTTTACTTGGAAAGATTCTCAGGCTATTCAGGAGGTAAAAAGCTTCCACAGTGGAGGCCTTTAGTTCCAGATGACTCTACAGGGTGTAGTCAACTCAACTCAACTGAGTGAATATTAATAAGGCATGAAGATATGTATGTTTAGGGGTGTTGCCGTTTTGAGTTAATGGTGGGAGACGATGGCCCTAAGATGTCACCTGAGAACATTCCAGTCAAATAACTTCCCCTCTTGGCCATGCTTATGTTGTTAGTGTCTTTTGGAAATGTACTCATGCAAGTATGTGTTTAGTCTGTTGTACTAAACAAGCTTTCAGAAGAGTGTGCTCCAGTGTTGCTGTCAAATGGATATGAGTGTGTGACACACAGAAATGTGTGTTCACATTATGTGATTTATTTTTGTGTATTGTGTATATTTCAATATGTAAATGTCTAATTGGGAGCATTAGTTCTGTTATTTTGTGTAAAATGTAATTTAGAGTGTGGTTCCAATTTGTGCCACAAGGAGGCGTGACCTTCAGGTGAGACAGCTTAGTGTGCTCGGCAGCCCTCCACTTCAGACTAGAAGAAGCGAGGATAAGAAACACACCACATTGCTTTGTCTTATTATTTCCCTGTTATTAACAGGTGAGTAAATGTCACAAATCACATACATGTGGTCTATATATTCTTCTATAACATGTAGAAGCTAACGCCATCCTTAAGTGTGTGTCAGGAGGTGTTTTAAATGTGTTTTGAAGGTTTTAAGGTACTTTAGCTATGATGCTAACGAGCGCTAGCTTAGCTCATCGCCACGTTCATATATGGGCGCCACTGTACATCGGTCATGGCTTGTTTCTAGCTCCCATGTTTTTGCTAGTTTTGTAAAGCTCCTGCATATCTCTTAAAGTAACTGTGAGTTCATGAAGACTGTTCATTTTCATATTTTGTACTTATTTTCTTGTAAAATGTGTAACGCTAACTTCGCTAGCTTCAAAGTTTCTCTATGGGATTTCCCATGTTATTTGTTAGCATAATGCTAAGCGGGGATTGATCTCCTCCTGTATGAACCTGTATGCAACTGTATTGCATTAATAAGAAGCTCTTAAGTAGCAGAACCAAATTATTTTATATTTGTTTAAAGAATAATAACACACAAACATTTATTTTGTAGTTTTGAGAACTTTTGCATGTAATATAAGACATAACTTGTATATTTCTGTGCATATTATGTTGAAATGTGGATAAAGTGTTGTTTTTGAAGAAAAACAAAAAACAAAATACAGTTTAAGTAAAACTGAAATACATAAACATATGTATAAAAATAAAGACTAGAAGAAGCAAGGATAAGAAACACACTACATTGCTCTGTCTCATTATTTCCCTGTTATTAACAGGACAAATCTAATCTGGCAACATTCCTCCATATGGGGCCTGTTACAAGTGCCCCTAAATAAATTCTCATGGAGAAAGATCTATTTTTACATTGTTATCATTTATTATAATTCAGTTGATGTCCCTTGGGTGGGCACTTTGAAAACCTGTAATACAAATAAGACCCAAGTTGTTGTTGTCGTCAATCTTTAAATATACAGCTGACCCAGTCACTGGCTCTAGCCAGTTTGGCGCCCAAGGCAAGATAATGATTTGGCGCTGCACATCCACCTGCCCCATCCAATCATCCCCCAGCACCACATTGTCACTTTGGAGAGAGTTACAAAATTAGACTGACTCATCTTTTTTC